CTACTACTACTACTACTACTACTATACTCTACCACAACCATTTTCCCCAGACACCCACAGCCAGACGTCGGGGTAGCGCCATGTACCCTGCCAAGATGGCTCTGTGCCCTCCCCCTAGTCCTCTGGTACCGTCCAAGCTGGCAGACATGCTACGTCAGTCGATTGCACCGCAATTTCTCGAGGTCATCTGCAGTGGCCCGCCGAATCACAAAGCCACAAACCCATCAGGTGTGACTGCTCCTCGTCGCTACATGCGGCGTGACGCTTGTTTCATGAGTTGTACATCGGGAACTACTGTTTCGCTAGCCAAACATTGCAAATTCTACATGGCCCTCAATGACCCGGTGCCTGTCCGCTAACCCATCCTTGTCCATGGTTGCTGCTGTCCCCCCAAGCCACCCCAATCTCACGATGCGCGTCACCGCACTCGATGCCCAGCGACTCCAACCACACCTGTTCAAATTATACATGAACATCTGCAACACCAAAAAAAGCCTTTGACGCACCCCAGCCGCTCTCGCTACATCTGGTTCATCGGATCCAAGGCCCGCCACGTTTGCTTCTGTCCCTTTTTTTCTTTTGCCCAGTCCCCCAGATAACCGACCCTTCCAGCCCTACCGTCACCGCGGCAATATCATCCCGAAACCGAGGCATTTAGCACAGCGAGGCGCAAAAAAAGGAAACAGTCACCAGAACTACATCCGCATGATCAAGTCGCGGTGTGCATTATCGCCTTCAGCGTCTATCACTCAGTGTGGGGGGACCACTGATATGCTGTACCATGACCTAAAGTTGGATTTGCTTTGCTACGTACAACTAGGACAGTGATCCCCCGCGCGCAACTCAGCTACTGACTTTGGGTCCCGAAGTTCGCCACGACTCACATGTCCATGGCTTTCCGATACGCTGCTATTGTTACTTACCAAACTTACTCGCCCATATGTCTGACCATTACAAGACACAGCAGCGACCGACTTGACAAAAACCGACCAACCATCGTTCCATGGCACCGTCAGCAACCCCTCGTACACGGCATCAATGGAAATGAAAGAAGAAAAAAAGTATTACTCTCAAGCAACTTGGCAGAGTTTGGGTTGTAGTATAGCAGATGAACTATTCGGACCTTTTTTACTGCCATGACCTACTACTTGTCGACCACAACGGCCTGGGCATCAAGGGTTGACTGCTTTTTTTTCGCCCGCTGTTACAGCACTGCTACAAGAAATTGGCAAGATCGCCGCTTTCTAGCACGTTTGCTGACATGAGCCTGTGTTATCCCGCCGCCCAAAGCAACCACCAGCATGCCGTCCGAGACTCCACAAAGTACCGTGCAAAGCCATTGTCGTTTGATTGCTCGGCACCAGCTGAAATGCATTGCCCATCCTTTCGCACGCCACACACATCTTTTGGCCCATTGCTGTGCTGCTCGCCTGCGGCCTCGGGGTGGCGCAACCATGTATTTGCAAAGAGGGCCCAAACTGCGCGCGCATCCTTCTTGTATCTATGTACACATGTATTACACATACCCACCTCCAAGGTGGAACAGGGGGAATGCAACTGCAACCACAATGGCGGCTTGACAGTGCCACACCACCGGACACTTTGCTGGATGCCCATGGCCCCGACAGCTTGGATCCGGTCCTCGGTCTAGCTCTTGTGGGACCGGGGCTTACATCCGCCCTCCGGAGGCGTCGCGTGGCTGTTACGC